GACCACTCGGCGCAGTTAGTCGGGATCGCTGATCCACCATTTGGTCTGATTCATTGCCTTTCTGCATTGGCCTTCAGTAAATTCAAGTTCTGTAACATTGGGCGATGGAGTACTGCATCGCGGAATCGTTCGGCGACTCGTCGACTGCTCCTTTATCTCGCCGACTCGATTTTCTCCTTCAGAGTTTGGCACACTGGAACTATAGGCGAGACCATAGCCATTCGGCGACTCGCCTAATGGTTTAGGCGATCCTCAGGCTGTCTTTTCTTTTTTCTTTTCAGCTACCTTGTTCCTTTCTGCCCAATAGTGTCCATGTTTTGTCTTTAATTCCAAATACCTGAAACTCAAGGATTTTCATCAGTTATTGAGACAAAATATGCATTTGAGGACACTAAATCTATCAAAATAAAGCCCTAAAAGAGTCCAAATCGTGGACTCATCAATAACTTGGGAAGAATTTTTAAGAGGATCTCAAAAATTTCATCAAAAGAGCATTTTCTTACGAGTCACAATACCAAGGTAAAATTTTTGAGTTGGTCTCAAAAATTCTATCATAAGATTTTTCTCTTGCAAGTCACAAGATTGGAGCAAATTTTAAGAGGACATCAACAATCCTATTTTGTTACGAATCACGATACGAGGGTATAATTTTTGACATGGTCTAAACAATTCATGAAAAACGACTTTTGATCCGTAAAGAAGCATCAAAAAGTCAAAAGTTCTACACTAGGATAGAAATTTTTGAGAAAATCTTTTAAAAAATTGACAAAATTGCATTCAGAGTAGCAGGTCAATTTTCAAGTAGCGTCTAAGGAGCATGTTGATCAAAGCAGAGATACAGATCAACCTCCCCTTTTTATAAACTAACTATTTTTCTTTGAATGCAACAAAGACATGTACATATGCAGGAAGCAATTCTAATATCGCCCAAGCCATTGCCGAAAAACGACATTCTATTCTTCCAACAAGACGAAGGTCTGAGCTACTATATAAGCTCAATTGTCATATTGAGCTTGATAATCTTCATTAAATGACTGTGTACTTTCAATATGACGAACGATCAAGCTACTTTATATCTAGTTCGACATTCACTAGTAAATGACACTCTATCCTTCCAACAAGACAAAGGTAGATATACTAGCTATGGTAGACAAGCCAAAAATAAAGATGAACTATTTAGCTGACGAGGCCGCAATTGAAGACATACCTACTTACACACATATACATATACATGCCAAGCCTATGGGATGGAGATTGAAACATACAAAAGAAAACTCAGAATATTATGTCTACAATAGCCTCTACGAGTGACATAAGCACTGTTAGGACAATGCCCCGACTATATACAAATTGTAAAACAAAAGTAAACATCCCCTGATTACCCCAAGATAAGATGGAGCTTACCAACTCACAGCTGAACTGAATCCTAACGAGTGGGTCGATTAGAATCCATGCTTGAAACTGCTCGTATGAAACAAAAAAAGTAGCATCCCCAGGCAATGAGACGTCAGTTTGAATAAAAATATATTGGTATGTAAGGCGAAAAGTAGAATCATAAGTAGCTGATGTCAAAGGGTAATAGAAACTGAACTCAAATAATCTCCATGACTGATATTTGGCCTCCTAATATTTAAATATGCATGGTATGCTCGTATAATTGTATGTCGTGAATACATATACATAGATGCAAATGCATGACATACCTAACCAAATGCTAGCAATTGTGGTGTTTTCCGATAGCTAACAAGCATCATATTCGCCAACTTGCGGTCATCGGTGTCTCATACGTATAAATATAGGCAATAGGCCTCATACCTTCTGATTATAGCTCCGGAGTAGAATGCATAATGTGTCATGTCATGGATTCATAGTGCACATATGTAATTGTTGTCATGTTACCCATCTTGGCCCATTTGTACTCTTGCTCTCACAACATCGTAATCACTTTCGTATAACATGTAAATGTCTCATGAAACCTCATATGCTTTTTCGAATAAGCTTGAAAACTTAACTCGACTTTTAGAAAGATAACATAACCTTGAATATGTTCATAAAAAGCTTATGGTGCTTCACTTAGTTCCTATACCCAGAAAATTTATAAAAGAAAGTATTTCAAAAATCAAGTGTTCTAATATAGTTTAAACATTTGAAGGAAAGATGACTAGTTAAAAATAATAAATGTCTCCCATAGTATTTTTAAGTTACACCATCCAAAGAAGAATACAAATTTATACATATGGACATATAATCAAGGAAACATATAAAATGACATGTAGATGTTGAATACCTTATTTAACCGAACGAGTGGAATATCAAAATAATACCATCATGAAAATAATTTAGCTGAGATCTCAATGCCTTCATAGAAGGTCTTCTAGCAAGAGAATAAAAAAAATCACATTTGGCGTTTTAGAAATTTCCCTAGAGTCGTGCTAAAATGAAGGACAAAGCTTAGCCTTAACATACATTTCCAATGAACGCTCGAATGCATGTAGTTTCTTCATGAAAGTTGTTCTTTACATCCTTAGCTTCGCAAACACTATATATACACAACTGGTACACACCTATAAACAATTTATAATTGAGCATAAATTGACAAATGTTCAATATGGTCCTAACTTGACGAAACATCTGTAAAACTTCATAAAAACAATCATAACAAAGACCCGAGATGATTACCTTAACAAACCAAATTTAAAACTTGAAGAAACACCAATAATTACCAATTTATATCTTCAAAACCTAGCTCCAAACACAGCTAATAGAAGGGAAAAACGATTGCTACGTGTAGAGATCTCGTTTCTAGGCACGGGGGTAACCTTTAATGACAGAAATCGCTACTAACCTTCATCATTCAAGCACTCTATTAGAACCTTCTCTTCAACTTTCATTCTGATTCAGAAGTGAAAAGAAATATTTTTATGGGTTAAAACGTCGAGTAGCCTACATACCACATTTTTTTACCCGACCCAATGCTTGAGAAATTGCATTGTGTCCGAAGATTTCATGTGCCCGAGAAATGTATTGTGCCCCAGATATTGCATGTGCCCAAGAAATGCATTGTGCTTGAGATATTGCATGTGCCCGAAGATTGCATGAGCCTAAGAGTTGCATTGTGCTCGAAAATTGCATATACCCAAGAATTGCATGTGTCGGAAAATTGCATGAGTCGAAGAATTGCTTGTGATCAAGAATTGCATGTGCCGGAGAATTGCATGTGTCAGAGAATTGCATTATGCCCGAAAATTGCATGTGCCAGAGAATTGCATGTGCCCAAGAATTGCATGAGCCCAAGAATTGCATGTGCCCGAGAATTATATGAGCCCAAAAATTGCGTTGAGCCCGAGAATGTGCTTTTATAACTGAGAAATGCAACTACACAAAGTTTCTATCGAATCAAGCTATAAGTATCGAAATATGCCCGAATTGCATTGAAACAGATACATCTCCTTTACTCATTATTTATTTCCGAAGGCATCATAGTCTAAAGGCATCATCTTTCATGGCCTACAGACACCATCTCATGGCCTAAGAGTTTTAATTCTGCTTATCATGATCCGAAGGTGTTATAGTCTAAAGACATCATTTTTCATGGCCCACGAACAACATTTTTCATGACCTAAGAATTTTACTTTTTGTGTATCATAGCCCTATACATCATAACCTAAGACATCATCCTCATTGTCTTAAGGCAGATATCATAGTCTATATTGGAATTACATCATGTTTATAAATTATTTTACCATTTAATTGATATACATGTCCTAATAATTTTATTTAGTCAGATCACGAGCTACAAGTTTACACATTGCACACAAGATCAATTGCTCTTTCATATACAACTTTCACACTTATATATATTGCAATAAATGCCCTTTCACTTTCCACTACTCATATGATCATTGCTCTGATAACTTAAGTCATTCCTTACTCTATTCATGCCACATCAAGCTCTAATCTTATCTATGCAAGCTGCTATCACTCATATTCGAAGCTGGCACCGTTATTTCAGTTTTAGGAACTCCATTCATTCTTAAATCTAGAACTACACACAACCTGATTCTCGTAATACTAGAGATATGTAGGCGTTTTAAAACCAAAGTCTTAGCCATACCATTTTCCACAACTCCATATTATTCCAATTGATTCCACTAACATCTTTTCATTAATCGGACAAAATTGACTACTTAGTCAACGTTGTTTACCCGACAATTCATCCTTCATTCTCAAGCAAACAAGGGGCAACTCTAGATACCCAATTTTGACCGATCTATAGCCCTTTTCGAATTGCTATTTGATTAAATACATATTTTTAAAACCTATTTCTTTTATTACGTGTTTAGAAGTTAATCAAATTTGTCTAAATAATGATATATTTTAATATTCATATTTAAAAAAATATTATTATTATTTTATTTATCGATAGTAAATTGAAAATAAATATTTTATGTATTTATACAAAAAAAATGTCTTTAATATTTAAGTATGTTATTTTATATGAAATTATTTACTATGGTATTAATTAAGTGACAATTCATTTAACCTTCCTATAAATTATTCAAATTCTAGCGTCTTCTATCCAATTTATATTTTAATTCTAACCTTATCAATCCAATTGTATTTCATCTCAATTATAACCATTTGATTCAATCTCATCTGTCCATCTTAATTCACCAACACCAAAAATCAATCTCAGCCGCTCATCTCAATTAAGCCAACGGGCAACGACCGAGATCAAATTCCCATTTATTTTCTTTTTTTGATCCCAAAACTCCAAAACCCCGCCAAAACCCCGCCAAAAGCCCCCAAAACCTATCTCATTTCTCCTCTTCCTATTGGAAACTCAGCAGCAGCACACCCCATCTCCCTCTACTTCTCCGCCGCACCAGCTTCTCCTCTCCATTTCCGCCGAAAATCGCCACCACCGGTGAAGCCAGCAGCCACTGGTCGCCTCCTCTATCTTCTCTCCTTCGCTGCTCCGGCCACCATCGCCGGTCGCTGGCGAGAACCACAACGAAAATCCCTTTGCCTCCCCTCTCTCTCCAGCCGCCGGCCTGCTCCTCTCTTCTCACTTCTCCGTCGAAGTAGACGGACGGGATAACGGCAGCAACGACTGCTCCGCCCAGCAGCTTTGGCGAAGCAGCTAGCGTGACCAGCAAACTCCGGGAAAACAGCGACAACAACTCCGGCCAGCAGTGGCGCAGCAACTCCGGTTGGTGAGGATGGCGTCACCCCAACCTAATTCAGAGTCGGTATTAGAACTTCAAAACAGCATCGAAGACAAATCCGGTATGAATTTTCGCCCATCACTTTGATTCTTTGTTTCTTTTAAGCATATTATTAGAGGCGAAATGAATGTTGGTATGATTACAGATTGAGTCAATTGCTTTAATTGTCGATCTTGGCAGTTAAACTTATGCATGTCTTATTTGAAATTGTTTACTGATATAATTCACTAGCTTGCTATGGTGATGCTTTGTTAAATTCTCGTCCTCTTACTCTCTTTTCCTTAATGTGTTTACTCGTCTTGGTGTTTGAAATAATTGGGGATGCCTGGGTTTGTAATAAGTTCAGAAGTATGATATAACACTGAAATTCGTAATTCTCATTGCTTATGTAGCAGAGTCTATTGTGATATTTTTTGTTTGGATTCTTGATAGTTAGCATGATTATTTTCTTTCCTTTTAAAATCTGATTCAGGCCTAATTGAATGAGAATCAAATTTGATGTTGCTCCTAAAATAATTATTTTCCTTTTTTCACAGATTGAAATCCTCTTCTGTTCAAATTAAAGATACCTTAATACTTGTTCTTCCATGTTGACTGGTTGATCTTCCATACTTGATTAATTGGTTAAATTTTGGTTAATTCTCATAATTCTAGTAACTAATGAATTGATTGTTTATTTAGATAATAATTCTCTTTGTTGATTAAGCCTTAATTTAGAACTGCTTTTTAAAATTATTTTATTTTATTTAATATGGACCATTGTTATCAAAGTCGAAAAGCACAAAAAAAAGCTCTAAGGTCCGTAGGGGCTTTAAGCGCAAATAAAGTGTGGGCTTTAATGAAAAAGGCGCAAAGGGAGAAAAGAAAACAAATATATATGTTTAGTCCAAAACTAATAATTATAAACATGAATGACAAATGTATGACCAAAGAAATTGAAAAAAAATTATGATGAAGTAATATCAATGATTTAGTGTCACTTCGTCATAAGAGGCTCATTGGCAAGGAAACGTTTGCCTTAGAACCTTAATTATGACATTGAAGCACACATATAGCAAGGCGAAGCGCTCAACACATTTTGAGCCTCACTCTAGGGCTTAAGCGCGCTTAATGCACGCCTTTGATAACACTGCTTTGCCTGTGCAAGTTTTATATAATTAATGTGTTGAAATATATACTGACAGATTCACTTTTCTAATCATCAAAAAAATTATTATATATGATATGAGTTGCATAATTGTTTCCTTTTTAACATAATTATTTCTTTACTTAATTTTAGTTCACTTAAATGTTTGTGGTTGCTTTAATTGATCTTTTGCTTTAATTAAAATTTGAACATATTCTTACATGTTTAATTTTATTAAAAGCTTTATTCGATTTTGGTGATAAATTCTTACTGATCTCTGACCCTCCTTTTGTTTAAGGAAAACAAATTTTCATAATTGGCTCCCATTATTGTTTCTTTCACGGTTATGCCTTTTCATTTACTATATAAACAGAAGTCCTCATTCACTTTTCCTCACACTTTAATCCACACTACTTTCATATACTCTCAAAAAGAAAAAGAAAAATCTGACGAACTGCTTTCAAAGTTTGCTGCTCAGTTTATTGTTTCAAGTTGGACGTTGTGTTAAGTTTATTCTTGTTGATTAATTAATCTGTTTAACAAGTTAGCTTCCTTCATTAGTTTAATCCTTGTCTCGCATTAATATTACTTAAGTTTAACATACTTTTTGGCACGAATACTTTACATACTTTAGTATGTCTAAATAAATAAAAGGAAGCATCCGGGGTCAGTTTCTCTTCTTCCCTCTCTCTGTGTATGACATTATATTTGTTGTTATTCTTTATTTGTTTGAATTCTTGTGTATGTGCCTTCTGTCTATATAATATGAAATAATTAATGTTATGTGTATCTCTAGTATTATATATAGGCGTTGCATTATTCCTTAACAGGGTTGGACATTATTGTTCAAGTTTGAAAAGTCGCATGAGATGGTTTATGGACGGGATTTTTAGTTTAGCATTTGTACTTCAAATTTGTATTATAATGTTCATTTACTCCTTTATTTTAGATTGTAATAACTTGTATAAGTGTTGCTCTATATATATGAAATAAATTTGGGGATCGTCTAAGGGGGGAGGGGTTTATGTGCTACATGTTTATTTTATCGCAACATGTTTGTGTTAGCAAGCATGTCTATAGGAGTATGATTGTTTGTTTGTTCTTATTTCCCATTATAGATCTAATTAAATAAAAAAATAAAGGGGCCTACCATTGCCATTAATTAACTACTTAAGTTTTGATTTAAATATCTTCGGCATTGTAATCTATTTCCTTTGCTTAATTGTTTATGTTAATCAATATGCCTAACACCTTAGCATATAATAATAATAATAATAAAGTAAGGTATGACTTTTTACATGTTTCCCTGCCATTTTAAAATTAATCAAGGAATTATTTTCAGCATGTTAAAGACCATTTGATCTGCTTTTTAATTGTCTGCTACCCTTGAAACCAACTTGCACCCTTATCTTTTGCTTCTTATAGAACCAAATATATTGTTGTAATATGTTTCTTTGTGCACACACTTTTGCCTAGACCTTTCACAACTATTCGTGTCTTCAAGCATGTCAATAACCTAAATTTAGAGGCCAATATGAGATTTAATTGCTGAATGCTTGTCCTATTTGTTTTGTTTGACACTTGGGGGCCTCATTAGGAAACTTATATTTGTTTAGTCTAAAACCCACCATCTAGTTAGTCCAATGCCTCTTGGACATTAAGTTGAAACGCAAGGCACCTTTTAGGACATTAGGTTTTACAATTTCTTTAGTTCACTTTATGTTCTTAATAATAAATGAATTTAGAATGGGGGTAGGGGTAATTAGGCACTTATCAGAAATGATGTAAGTTGACTCGAGCAGAAAATGACAAACTTTGATTTGTCTCCCGATTAATAAATCGAGCACTGATCCGAGAAGCAATAATTAATTTAGGTTAATGTTGTCCCCTTTTTCTTTTATATTGTTGCCTATATTATTTGGGTTAGTTAATTACTAAAAATGTCTTTTCTCTATATTTGATTGTGTACTTTTTGTGTTCTTGCTTATCTCCTTAGTTATGTTTTATGCTGGTTAATTTGCATTAAATGCTTTTAATTTGTATATGCCTTTTCACTTAGTTTATTTTAATTAAACTTAATGAATAATTATACCTTATTTTCACATGCTTAACTCCTGCATAAATATATGAGATATGGCCAGGACTCACATTTGTAGACCTCGAGGGGTGCTTAACACCTTCCTCTCGTGGTAACTTGAACCCTTATCCAAATCTTGGTTTCGTTGACCTTAATTAATTAAAATTAGTTAGGTTAGTTAGGTTCCTTAGCGCACCTTTAATTTGTTAGGTGGCGACTCTCTTTTAATCAACACCTAAAAGTGTTGTCAAGTCGTTGCACAAACCGTTTTGCGAAAAATGGGGTGCGACACCTATGTGTGGGGATCCTGTTGGTGTATGCACAATGACTAAAGATGAGGGCCTTGACTCCTCTTTCTACTTTCCAGAGAATCTGCCTCATGCATGTCTAGGCTGGACAATACATTGTGGGGATTGCTCCTCTAATTTGAGCATCAAAGGCCCTTTATTATGAATGCATGTTTAGTTGAAATAAGTTGGAGGTGGGTGGTAGGAAGACTTGCTAGAAGCTTGTTTGGTTAAGTTAATCCATAATTATTCTCTCTGCATAGAGTGTAATGGTAAGACTTATAGTTCGGTTCATGAACTGTTGGAGGAGTGTTGCCTGTGTTGGTAAGACTAAGTTTGTTTCTTGTTTGGGGATCTTGAAACGGAGACTTGTCTAATATTGGTCAGGTCAACTATTATATCCACCCTGAACTGCAGAAACTATAACTGAGGACTAGTTGCATTTAAATGAATTTCAGTTAGTTAAACTGCCACTGTTTTTGCTACTTGCTCACTGGCCTCTACCATTTCAACCTAATTGTTAATGTTTCCTGGTTATGGGTTGTCACTTTATTTTCTCTTCTTTCTAAAAACTATTCCCACTTAACTTATACCAAATTCATTCAAAGAATAACGTACTTCCCAAATCAATAATCCAATGAAGTAATTATGGCATAAACAACTTTTTCTGTCTCGCCAGCAACACGTACTGATTATTCTTCCTGAATCAATCTCATCTCAATTTGTTCGTGCTATAGTTGACAGAATCATCTATTGAACTGTCCATAATCTATTGTATACCTGTTTGGCAAACCCCCAAGATCTTCTTTAGTTGCAAGAAGCGTTGCTTCTCAACTATTACCATCTCATGACTATCTATTTTGGCATTGTTTGTATACATTGTATATATTGATTTTATATTCTAGCAAAGGTCATTTTCCATGTGGACTTAATTTGGTAGCATTATTTGCTAAGTTTTTGTATTTATAATATGGTCCTTGAGGATATGACAGTGCTTTTCTTGTTATATATGTTTGAGTTCTATAAATTTGTAATCCTCCTTATCTTTATTCTAAAAATCCTCATCATTATATAAAATCCATCTATTTCCATTGACATGGTATTCTTCATATTTTAGAAAATACTTCAATGCTTGACACCATCGACACCATCCCCTTGATTTGTTACAGTTATTCTGTAAACTTTTTACGACTTTCAAGGTTTCAAATTCATTTAACCATTCAAATTCCAAACTCTTGATGTGATGTTTATCAAACTAGTATTTTAGCCACAACTTAAAATATTCTCCATTACCACTGATATAATTCATAAAGCTATTCCACATCCTAAACTTTGTGTCCAGTTAAACACCAGCTAATAAAATAAAAGAAGTACAATAAATTTATGTTTGTGATTGTGTACCATATTCACACACTAATTGCTAAAACATAGACACCCACAACCCGGTCTCTTAGTTGATGCCTTCAGAGATTAGGAGTAAATATCCTCATTGCTTCTTTGTGATGTCCATACTAGAATTTGCTCTAAGGGTAAGATTGCTTGTTGTGTTACTTGTGTGCACACTTACTGTATTGGCCTCTTAGAATATAATGCTTAAGGTGGATTATAAAACTTAACAAATGTGCATGCTGCAGTGACTTGTGTCTATTGACAGCTTTTAGAGCCAGTGAAGTAATCTTATGCCAAAATGATCTACTATCTTGAAATGGCAAATATTTAATGTTCCCTGAATGAGATGGTCATTTCACACGCATGTGGTGTTTTTTCCATGTATATATCATTCCCCTTGGCATTTATGCCTTTTTAGCTTATGCTAGTGCATGGAATGTTGTTTGATATTAAGGGGTCGTTTGGTTGGGAACAAGTTATCCCGGGATAAGTTAGTCCAGGGATAACTTCTCCATCACTAAGCTATAAATGGAGGGATAAATAATCTTAGGACTGCCTAATACCTTCAACCAAACGCAGGATAAAATAGTCATGCATTTTATCCTTGGGATTATTATACCTTGTACCTCACATCAAATAACTCCTTAAGTGTATTGGCCTAACTTTGAGTGCTGCATTTTCTTAATTTTGCTGCTTCTTTTGATGTTCACTTCCACTTCATGCTTTTCAATAATGACTCTTTCACAGGAAAGTTCAGAAAGCTTCTTCCTTAGCTTCAGGTCCACCCTGTACTAAATTTCCTTAGAGTGCTTTTTCTTTGTTGCGAGAATGATAACAGAAATATTTCAGTTCTTTCTATGGCTTATCCTTCTCTGTATTTTTGCTGATTAATCAGGACACAAAAAGAACAAACGCAAACAAGATTCTGTGTCAAAAAGGAAGGCATCTGCAACTGGTAAGAAGGAAAAGAAACAGGCTGTTTCTGAAACTATTGAGGAGCCCACTGCTGCACGTAAAAGGCCTAAACGAGCTGCTGCCTGTTCAGATTTTAAAGAAAAATCTGAGCATTTATCAGAAAAGTCTTCAGTGATTGAAACAAAGAAGGACCATTGTGTAGAGGAAGAGGATGTGGCTATTAGGTTAACTGCGGGTCTGCAAGAGTCTCAACGACCCTGTAGAAGATTAACGGATTTTGTATTTCATAACTCAGAAGGAATACCACAACCGTTTGGAATGTCTGAGGTTGATGATCTGTTTATCAGTGGTCTCATTTTACCACTTGAGGACAGTCTCGACAAAGTAAAAGCACAAAGAATTAGATGTGAAGGCTTTGGGCGTATTGAAGAATGGGCTATCTCTGGCTATGAAGATGGAACTCCTGTCATATGGATCTCAACTGAGACAGCTGATTATGATTGTTTAAAACCCTCAGGTAGTTATAAGAAGTTTTATGACCACTTCTTGGCCAAGGCAACGGCATGCGTTGAGGTTTATAAGAAGCTTTCAAAGTCATCTGGAGGGAATCCTGATTTATGCCTTGATGAGTTGCTTGCAGGGGTTGTCCGAGCGATGACTGGCATAAAATGCTTTTCAGGTGGTGTATCCATCAGGGACTTTGTCATCACTCAGGGAGGGTTCATCTATAAGGAACTTATTGGTCTGGATGATACATCAAAGAAGACTGATCAACTTTTTGTTGAGCTACCTGTCCTAGCTTCCCTTAGAGATGAAAGCAGCAAGCAGGAGACACTTGCACAACCAGAGCCTATATCATCTGGTAAGGCTCTATGTATTGGCCCAAAAGCAGGAAATGGAGGAGACAAGATAGATGAATCTGGTTTGGCTAATGGCCCAGCGCCAGAAGATGAAGATCTGAAATTGGCTAAATTGTTGCATGAAGAGGAGTATTGGTGCTCCTTGAAGCAGAAGAAAGACCGCAATACATCTTCCTCATCCGGCAAAATATACATCAAGATCAATGAGGATGAGATTGCAAGTGATTATCCTTTACCTGCATATTACAAAACATCTAATGAAGAGACTGATGAGTATATCGTCTTTGACAGTGGGGTTGATACATATCACATTGATGAGTTGCCGCGCAGTATGCTTCATAATTGGGCATTGTACAACTCAGACTCAAGGCTAATATCTTTAGAACTGCTGCCAATGAAAGCATGTGCTGATATTGATGTAACCATTTTTGGGTCTGGAGTGATGACTGCTGATGATGGGTCTGGATACAATTTTGACACTGATGCTAATCATTCCTCTTCAGGTGGTTCTAGATCAGCTGAGATTGATGGTATGCCAATTTACTTGAGTGCTATAAAAGAATGGATGATTGAGTTTGGGTCCTCAATGATCTTTATATCAATTCGGACTGATATGGCCTGGTATTACACTTAATTCCTTTTGAGTGATTGAATTATTTTGCAAGTACCTCCCTTTATTATGCCACTAGCTGGGACTGCTATTTTTTATATTCTGATAAACCTTGACTGTTTTTCTTTCTGTGCTTTTGCTTGGCGGATTTACTATAGATGCTTTACTCATGCATATTATTTCTAATTCAGGTATAGGCTTGGGAAGCCGTTGAAACAGTATGCTCCTTGGTACGAACCAGTCATAAAGACTGCAAGATTGGCAGTGAGCATCATTACTTTGTTGAAGGAACAGAATCGTGTGGCTAGACTTTCTTTTGGAGAAGTTATTAAAAGGGTTTCAGAGTTCAAGAAAGACCATCCTGCTTATATATCATCTAATGTAGATGCAGTGGAAAGATATGTGGTTGTACATGGGCAAATTATTCTCCAGCAGTTTTCTGAATTTCCTGATGTAAGCATTAGGAATTGTGCATTTGCGATTGGTCTCTCAAGGAAAATGGAAGAGAGGCACCATACAAAATGGGTGATTAAGAAGAAGAAGATGATGCAGAGACTTGGACAGAACTTAAATCCTAGAGCATCTATGGCGCCATCTGTAAAAAAGAAAGCCATGCAGGCTACTACAACAAGGCTAATCAACAGAATCTGGGGGGAATACTATTCCAATTACTCACCCGAGGTGTCAAAGGAGGTGGCTGATTGTGAGGTGAAGGATGATGATGAAGCAGATGAGCAAGAGGAAAATGAAGAGGATGATGTTCCGGAGGAGAACTTGAATGTTCCAGAGAAAGCTCATACACCTTCTTCTACAAGAAGGCATATTAAGTCACGTTCTGACAGCAAAGAAATAAACTGGGATGGGAAATCCATAGGTAAAACAGCTTCTGGTGAACAGTTGTTTAAAAAAGCTAGAGTTCATGGACATGAGATAGCTGTTGGGGATTCAGTTCTAGTGGAACTTGATGAACCAGATGAGCTTCCGTCTATTTACTTTGTTGAATACTTGTTTGAAAAATTGGATGGCAGCAAAATGCTTCATGGAAGAATGATGCAACGAGGATCTGACACTGTACTTGGAAATGCAGCTAATGAGAGAGAGGTATTTTTGATCAATGAATGCATGAATCTGCAACTAGGAGATGTCAAAGAAAGTATAGCTGTCAATATCAGAATGATGCCTTGGGGACACCAGCATAGAAACACGAATGCTGATAAACTTGATAGAGCAAAAGCAGAAGACAGAAAGAGGAAGGGATTGCCGACTGAATTTTACTGCAAAAGCTTTTATCGCCCTGAAAAAGGTGCTTTCTTCAGACTCCCGTTTGATAAGATGGGTCTTGGTAATGGTTTATGCTACTCCTGTGAGTTGCAGCGAACTGATCAGGAAAAGGAATCCTTTAAGTTTGATATGTCTAACTCCAGTTTTGTATATCTGGGCACTGAGTATTCAGTTGATGACTTTGTTTATGTAAGCCCCGATCACTTTACTGCAGAAAGAGGGGGAAATGGAACTTTCAAAGCCGGAAGAAATGTGGGGTTGATGGCCTATGTAGTATGTCAATTACTAGAAATTGTTGGTCCCAAGGGATCTAAACAAGCTAAAGTAGATTTTACAAACGTCAAAGTCAGAAGATTCTTCAGACCAGAGGATATATCTTCAGATAAGGCATACTCTTCTGATATCCGGGAGGTATATGCTACATAATACTATAACTTGTCTCCACACTAATAGCTGGTTAGAGTTGTAAATATATACTAATTCTTTTACTATGTCGTGTTAGGAATCTTTTTTAATCAGCTAGGTAACTATTAGGGGATTTTACTTTTTTTCCTATGCAAACCTTCTTGCATTTATAATATTCTGATTGCTGCTGCTCTTCCAGATCTATTACAGTGAGGATATACATACAGTTCCTGTGGAAATAATCAAAGGTAAATGTGAAGTGAGGAAGAAGTATGATATTTCGTCTGAAGATGTCCCTGCCATCTTCGACCATATTTTCTTTTGTGAATATTTGTATGATCCATTGAATGGATCCCTTAAAAAGGTACCCATTTCATATTTTGTACTCTTGCATTCTTATTTTAACAGCAATTGGTCAGAGTCCTTTTAGTACAATACATTCTACCTTTTATTTATGTACCCTATTTGTTTTTGAATTTTATTTTTCTTGTGAAGAATAAGTTGATTGTACTTTTGAGCAGTTACCAGCTCAGATAAACCTGGGATTCTCAAAAATTAAGCTAGATGATGCAACATCTAGGAAGAGGAAGGGGAAGGGAAAAGAAGGAGAGGATGAAGTTGGGGAACTAAATGAAACTTCTCCACAGAATCGTTTGGCCACATTAGATATCTTTGCTGGTTGTGGTGGCTTGTCTGAGGGGCTGCAGCATTCAGGTAACTTCCTTCTCTCTGCTTATTTGTAGTTGTAATGGATGCAGTTTGAACTTTTGTCTGAAAGTTTTATTCTTTCAGGTGTCACAGATACAAATTGGGCAATTGAATACGAAGCGCCTGCTGGAGATGCATTTAGACTTAATCATCCAAAGACAAAGGTGTTCATACATAATTGCAATGTGATTTTGAGGTAGGTCATTGGGTATACAATCTTTACTCTTTCCTTTATGAACATATCTAAGTACATAACAGTAATGCCCAGATATTGGTTTCAATTCAGGGCTGTCATGCAGAAGTGTGGAGATTCTGATGACTGTATCTCAACTCCAGAGGCTTCTGAATTAGCTGCAGCAATGGATGAGAACGAACTGAATAGTTTGCCACTGCCTGGACAAGTTGATTTCATTAATGGAGGCCCTCCTTGTCAGGTTTGTTAAGCTCTTTCACATCTACCCTGATGTTTAGTAAACTTTGCAGCTTAAATGGTGTGTCCTTTTGCAGGGGTTTTCTGGAATGAATAGATTTAATCAGACCACCTGGAGTAAAGTACAGTGTGAGATGATTCTGGCATTTTTATCCTTTGCTGATTATTATCGGCCCAAGTTCTTTCTCTTGGAGAATGTTAGGAATTTTGTGTCGTTCAACCAAAAACAAACATTTCGCTTAACTGTTGCTTCCCTTCTTGAGATGGGTTATCAGGTACACACACACACACATTCTATATGTATGTATATTTCTAATTATTAAAACTGACAATCAATTTTTTTGTGATCAGGTTAGGTTTGGTATCCTTGAAGCCGGAGCGTATGGAGTTCCTCAGTCTAGGAAGAGAGCATTTATCTGGGCTGCCTCCCCAGAGGAGGTTCTTCCAGAGTGGCCAGAACCAATGCATGTTTTTGCTGTCCCAGAATTAAAAATCGCATTATCTGAAACTTCACACTATGCAGCTGTGAGGAGTACTGCTAGTGGAGCTCCATTCCGTTCACTTACTGTCAGAGACACAATTGGAGATCTTCCTGTTGTTGGCAATGGGGCATGCAAGACTTGCATAGAGGTACTAAACTTGAATTTCCTTGAACCCCTTCCCCTTTTCCAGGAATTGACTAGAGAACTGGAAAGACAGTGTATTGAGTAGGGACTTTTACTTTCTGAATTTGGAAGAAGAAAGAGGGCAATGCTACTTTTGTTTCTATAGATTATGCAATCATATCACGCCTTGGTTCGTACTTTGTTATTTATGCTATTCATTTTTAATGCAGTATCAAGGTGATCCAGTATCCTGGTTCCAAAAGAAAATCCGGGGCAGGTCAATAACATTATCTGATCACATTTCAAAAGAGATGAATGAGCTTAACCTAATCAGGTGCCAAAGAATCCCCAAGCGGCCAGGAGCTGATTGGCGTGACCTTGAGGATGAAAAGGTGTTGTGGCAATCATCCAGTGCTTTTGATGAAATAATATCTGCTTAGTAGGTCTATAAGATGTTTTGTGTTGTGTGTTGCAGGTTAAACTATCTAATGGTCAACTAGTTGATTTGATTCCATGGTGCCTGCCTAACACTGCTAAGAGGCACAACCAGTGGAAGGGGCTCTTTGGAAGGTTGGATTGGGATGGGAACTTCCCCACTTCTATTACTGATCCCCAGCCGATGGGTAAGGTGGGGATGTGCTTTCATCCAGAGCAAGACAGGATTGTTACAGTTCGTGAATGTGCACGTTCTCAAGTAAGTCTTACAAAATGAAGACACATTTAAGAATCTGTAAAGATGTTTGAAGCTTAATCTGAGGGTGCAGTATTTTCATGAATTTGGAATTGCTTGCTTAGGAAATAATAGTATTTTTCAAACATAAAGAGGAAACAAGTCACAATGTTGGTGCAGAGATTGTATTGTAGGATTTTATTTATAATAACAAGTATCATGTATTTCAGGGTTTCCCAGACAGCTACCAATTTGCTGGTAACATCTTGCACAAGCACAGGCAAATAGGAAATGCTGTTCCACCTCCTTTGGCATATGCACTTGGAAGGAAACTCAGGGAAGCTGTTGAGAGCAAAAGGAGGCTCACTTAGAAGTTCTTTTTTAAGCTATGAATTTTACATACATGTCAATTACCATTCACATTGACAACGTTACATTGCCAAATTATATCAGTTACTCATTTATCAAATTTGCAGTTTCGCCTATTACCTTCTATTTAGAGATTGGGTTGTTCAAACCAAATTGAAATAATATGTGTGATAAAAAATTAGTACCTCATCCTCATGTACACCCATATGTAGCAGTGTTTATGTTGTCGTTTATGGTTTAAAAGTGGAAGCACCTTGAATGAAAAGTTAAATTATGAAAATACTCCCTCTGTCCCTAATTATTTGTCCATTTTGACAAATTAAGAAATGACAATTTTTTTTACCTATTATACCCTCAATTATTTACTTTGGAAAATGTAGAATTTTTTGAAAAACTTAATTTTTTAATTCATCCATAGTAGGGTCTTGGATGGGAATGATTCCAATCATACCCAGAATGCTTATGCTACTAGTCCTGAGCTCCTTGATGTAGTTGTAGCAAGCGCATGTTCATAAATAAAATCTTGTTTAACCAAAAATAATAATAATAGAGGTAAAATGGTAAAATCACTATATCAATTATTGTTTTCTTAATAGGTGTGTCAATTCAAAAGTGGACAAGTAATTAAGGACAAAGGGAGTACCTTTTAAATATTGAATGACAAATTTATCCTTCATTAAATCATTAACATTGATCGGGGTGAGAAAGTGATTGAACCCTCGAACTCATTTATTAAATATGAGTTTTTCGCACAATTTGATTATTGATTTTAAAAAAATAAATTGCAAACTTGTCTTGATAAGTTAGAAGAGATTGAGACCGAGATATGTAGAAATATCCAGATGTTATGAGATTTAAACAAAACTACCCCATAAAAATATTCATAATATGGGAACCGAAAAGATTATAAGGTGTCGTTTGGTTGAGAACAAATTATCTCAGGACTAGTTATCCTAGGGTTAACTATTATTAAGTGTAGAAATGCACTAAAGAAAAATGAAAAAAAAAAAGGCTAAGCGTCCAAAACATGCCTACCCACCCTTAGCTTAATATCCAAGAGACATTGAACTAACTATTTTAGGTTGGGTATAGAATTAACAAGTCTTAAGGCTGTTAATTAGGCACAAAATTAGCGTCAAACACAGACATATAAATACTCTGAGACAAGTAGCACCTACTAATTTCACTTAAGCCTTCAAATTAATCAAAATAAAGGACCCACTAAAATGGTATGAACACCTTTAATAATCAAATCATATAAGTATTGTATCTTATAATTAAACATTTATAGACTAAATATATTGTTTAGATAACATGAAGATATACGAAGAGCAAAGAGCGTACATAGTCCCAACCCCTAACAGCCCCTCATTCTTCCATTACACAACATTCATACATGATTATTAAATGTTATTCAAAATAATAAATAGGGTCTTGGATGATATTTAACTGACCTTCTTAAACATTCGAATGCGTCTTTTAGAGAAAGAGACTTGTAAGTTGCTCTCATTTTTCATCTTCACCATGTCAATATATTTTTATCATAAGGCTTTTTTGCAGTGATAACATATTATTTGAGAAAGTAAGAAATTGTGATATTGAATCCAAACACCAATTTTTTATTTATAGGGTGAAATCATCACATTATTTGTGGAAATAAACTTAAATGACAAAATAGTTAATTTTGTTTTATATTTATTCCTTTTTTAGAAAGATTTGTATCAAATTTATAACATTAATTGAGTTTCTTTATTTGTAGCTTTAATACAAATTAGTAAAAATCACAATTAGACATTGTATATTTTTCTTAATTAGAATTCTTAAGGTTTTATCTCACCATTCCTTTATGGAAAAGATTTTAGTGAAATTCATATGTAAAGTTTGTAAATTAAGAGATACAAATATTCTATGGATAGTGTTTATATTCTAAATATTCTCTAGTTCAAATTTCATTATGTTCATTGATCCAAAATTCATAAGGATCATGATGGGATCTACATACTCCCCGGGTAGATAAGTCAAACCACCACCCAACTAATTTCAAAGTAAAGGCATATAAAGGAGGGTAAGCATAAGCAATATTTAATAGAAACAAAGTGTGGATAGAATATATAGTATGAGTATCAAAACACGGGGTACTAAGTAGGCATCAAAAGTTGAACGAGCTCAGATAGAAAATGTATATATGAAAGAGTCATGGTAGTACTAACACTATAAATCAGTAGATATAACTTGAAACATACACACCACTAGTGACATCAAAGATAATAAAGATAATAATAATAATAATGATAATAATGATAATAATATAGTAATTTTATAATAGTTTATATAGATGATATCCTAGTGTTTTCCAAAAATGTGGAAACTCATTTTAAACACCTTGAATTATTTAAGAAAATTATTATGTAAAATGGCTTGGTTTTATCACAACCTAAAATGGCTTTGTTTAAAACAAATGTCAGATTCCTTGGTCATAATATTGAAAGAGGTAATATTAGTCCTATTCATAGAAGTATTGAGTTTGCTTCCAATTTTTCTGACATTATTACTAATAAGACTCAGCTGCAGAGATTTCTTGGAAGTCTTAATTATGTTGCTCCTTTTATAAAGGATTTAACAAAAGATACAACTATCTTATACGACAGACTAAAAAATAATCCTAAAGCTTGGTCAGATGATCATTCTGAAGTGGTCAAAAGGATTAAAGAAAAGGTTAAAAACCTTCCTTGCTTGACCTTAGCCAATCTAAATTGGGCAAAAATAGTAGAAACTGATGCTTCAGATAGGATATGGTGGAGTATTGACCCAATATTGTCCTGATAACAAGCGTCATTACATTGTACAATTCTATTATGGTAAATGGAACGATGCCCAGAAGAATTATGCTACTATAGCTAAAGAGATCTTGGCCATAGTAAAATGTGTTCTTAAATTTCAAGGAGATCTTTATAACCAAAAGTTTTTAATAAAAATTGATTGCCAAGCTGCTAGGTTTATGTTTAATAAAGACTGTAAACATGATGTTTCCAAACAAATGTTTGCTCGATGGTAAGCTCTCTTAGCCCCTTTCGATTTTGAAATACAATATAAAAAGGATGAAGATAATAGTCTTCCTAATTTTATCACTAGAGAATATTTGAATTAATAAAATTCCATTTCTTCGTTTCAGGATGAGATCAGTATGGCCCCCTCCCTCCAGAAGGGGAAGAAGAGAAAGAACGAATGCAGGAAGAAGAGGTCTTATTCTCGCTCAACAAGGCAATAAAATACTAACAACATTTAATAGTAATGTTTCAGCTGCTTCATCAAGTGGAGCTAGTGGTATTGATATAAACCACCCGATGTATAAAGAGTTTATGGATTTTATGAAATCCAAAAAAGAGTCGGATAATAATCCATCTACATACTCTTCAATCCTGATTGATGATGAAAACACAGAGGTCTTTGATATAAATGACAAAAAAGAAGTTATACTTCTTTTGGAGGAAAATGATCTCAAATGGAGAAATGAGCCATGGCAAATAATGGCTAGGTATTTGGACACAGTATCATATACTACTGCAGTGTACAAATACAGAATGCACTATGAGATAATACTCTCATCTACAGGGTGTGAATTCCAACATTTCTACCCTTCTAATACGAAAAAAGTTTATAACTTTTCCAAACTAATTATAAAAAGGATTTTAGCACCCGAAGAATGGGGTATGAGCACATCAAAGGAATTGAATTATATCCATCCAGAACAAAAGATTGCAGTTAAATACAATTACTGGGATTATATTGATGGATGTAATAAAGTCCTTTTATATGAGAATGCTAATAAAAAGCATTCATGGTTTATTAAGATATGTTCTAATGTATTTGACAGACATATCCCTAATTGATTTTGCAAATGGTGGACTTTATACGGTCCTTCGGTAAAAATCTTACCAGAATAATACAAAAAATTATATCTAGAATGGGTAGATATCTCCCCGAAATTGATAAGTTTACAGGAAGAAAATATATTCTTCGAAGGAATATCTTTAATGTATTTCTTTATTGAATTCTCTATTCCTTGGATTATGAAATGGTCGATAGAAGTTAATACTACTTCAGAAGGATTTCCTTGTCTACAAAGGACCTTTTATACCAAGTTCTGGAGTAAATTACTTCAGAAAAATCCTGAAGGCAAGATACATGGCCAAGAAATTATTGATTTAATCAATGTTAAGATTAGCAAGTATTATGATAATGCTACTATGGAACCACAAGTCATAGAGGATTTAAGTCCATTTAAAAAGATTACAAGAAAATTTCAAATGAAGAAAGGACTCATCTCCAAGTCAGAAGCTATAGCCTTATACATGGAGGAGGTAAAAAAAAATTTAATGAGAAATCTCGACATCGACATAAAAGATGATATTTCTATGGCTTCAGCAAGCCATACTAATGAAGATGATGATACATGTGCCGCTGGCGAAGGACAAGACGTTGATGAAGAAATAGATATTGAAACTATTCTCCAAAATTATCAATGACAAATAGAAGAATCTTCTAGTACTAGCACAACAACTGGAAAGGGAAAAAACAAAGTGTGAAGACCCTACCGACAAGATAATATTTGGTCATATCTAAAAAGATGCTTTTATAAAGTATGATAGCCGAAAGTAATGTCAGCCAACTAAAAATAAAGAAGGCCATGTGAAGACCATAAGTGTTGGTCGGCCTTATCGTTTCCTTATTGGCCAATGTAAAGATTGTGGGCCACTTCTTTTATTCGTTTTTTGCTTTTAAACCTCTATATAAGGAGATGTGTGTTTTAGTAAAGAGGCAGGTTTCAGAACCCCCCCTCTCTCTCTAAAAATACTCTCTTTGTAATATATCTTTAAGCATTTGAATAAACATTGGAATTTGGCTAGAGACGTCGTCTAAAGGTATTAATTTTATTCTTTATCTTATTAATTTTTCTTTGTGTATTGAGCCCAATGATGGGTTAAACTGTTTGTGTTGAGCAGTAGCATACTATGTTATTATAATAAATGGTGTAAGTTACAATCATGAAGATGGTTTGAGCATTCAGATTAAGGTCATACATAGATTATTCAGGCCATAATTATGAAAAATCGCTGAATTGATCCGTTGGATAACCCGTTGGATTACCCATGTGGAGGGCGGATCCGGGCGGACCTGGATAGTAAGGA